AGTAATGACCTGATATAAATGATACGAAAATAGCCAACTACGGATAAAAATCGTCAAAGCGTGGGGAGTGAAATGCAAAATGTAAATAAATTAAAGAATGTAAATACATGTAATACTACTTATTGTTATGTTATTGATTTTGTGTTGTGAAATAAAACCAAATACACGTACTTGTAAATACAAATTCGGTGTGATACCGTGTTCTTTTTGCGTGTCTCTAGGTTATAGGTATTTTTTTCATTACTTGTACATTTATATTTGTATATTGTATAATACATTACGATAACACCCATTGGCAACAAATACAGGTATAATTTTAAATGTTTTTGTATTTGGTCCCATCTCGATAGCGTGTCGCCTGATTAATAATAATAATAATATTTAAAAAAAAAAAAAATAAAGTTTCATTCACGAAGTATGCCCATTAAGACATCAATAACCGCCTTCATCCATGAATTGGGTTAATCTGTTGTTTTAATTTTTACTGACGCTTCAAATTACTAAAACAACATATAAGTACTATTCCCTTCCACGCGCGTTGTCTGCATAGTCGTATACTTTTCTCCCCTACTTTTCTCCCCTTTTGTTGTACTAATTAACTTCAAGCAATAAAACTCATTCAGTGTTAAACCCTACCTTATATCGATTTGTCCATGATCCATGACGTCACAACGCCTCAGACACGCCCCGTTTGGTGATCCTCGTCGGGGTTACCGATATGATCCTCGATGAGGATCATGATCCTCCACCGGAAAACGAGGTCAAATGCTTAGACTACCCAATTTGTTGGAGCGTGTGTACGATCGAGACTTGTGCCTCCTTATTAGACCACCGTGTTTAAATATGTTCTGATAAAATAAAATATTGAACTGAATTGAAATGAATCGAATTGAATTGCTAGCGATGAAGGGTCCAGGGCACCAAACACCTAGAGCGCTGCTCGAGACTTGCGAATTCCGCACTCCGTTAGGGTTCACTGGTGTAAGCTCAATGTCGCCACTAACGTGGCTCCGTATGGGCCCTGCTCGCGACTAAGTCTCGAGACTTAGCGAACGGTCCACTTCGTTCGGGTTACTAGCGTAAGGTCAATGTCGCCACTGTCGTGGCTCCGTAAATAAGAATAAATAAATCAATCAATCAATCATCTTAGAAATTAGGAAAGCCCGTTTGATGTTTGTTTTTGAAGTCTCTACGACAACCACGGGGCCTTGCCACAGAACATCGGTGCCAGTCTTAGAATAAGAACAGAGGCCAATGTGATGGACAGCTCATCTTAAAAATTAAGAAAGCTCGTCTTTAGAAATTAGGAAAGCCCGTTTGATGTTTGTTGTGGAAGTTGGTCCGGCAACACCTGTACCAGTCTTAGAATTAGAACAGAGGCCAATGTGATGGACAGCTCATCTTGTACATTAAGAAAGCTCATCTTAGAAATTAGGAAAGCCCGTGTGATGTTTGTTGTGGAAGTTGCTCCGGCAACCACGGGGCCGTGCCACAGAACATCGGCACTAGTCTTAGAATTAGAACAAAGGCCAATGTGATGGACAGCTCATCTTGTACATTAAGAAAGCTCATCTTTAGAAATAAGAATGGCTCGCGTATTGGTAGTGTAGGCCTATCTACATGTATATACTACATAACGTTTTAATTTAATACTACATAACGAATTAAATTTAACATCTTTTACAACTGGTCTTGAAAATTAAAAAAGAAAAGGAAAAAAACAGATAGTTGTAGGGGACTCAGGAAACCAGGGCCTTAGAGCCGTGCTCGCGACTTCATCGCTCTCACACGAGTCTCGAGGCAAGTCTCGAGACTTACGTTACAGTTCCACTCCGTTCGGGTTACTAGCGTAACGCCAATGTCGCCACTAACGTGGCTCCGTAATGGAGGCCTGCTTGCGACTTCGTCGCTCGTACACAAGTCTAGAGGCTTGCGCCTCTACCCACTCCGTTCGGATTCACTAGCGTGAGCTCAATGTCGCCACTAAAGTGGCGCCGTAAGCTAAGACATCTTAAAATCTAAATAATATTACAATCAAATTTAAAGAAAAAAGAATAAAGAAATAAAGAAAAAAAAAATAAACAAAAAATAGAAAAAAAACAACAACAAAAAATAAAAATATAAAAATTAAATAATAATAAAAAAAAAAAATTAAAAAAAAAATTCCACCTCACTACCACCTCCACCTCACTACCACCTCCACCTCACTACCACCTCACTACCACATCCACCTCACTACCACATCCACCTCACCCCCACCTCACCCCGCCTCACCCCGCCTCACCATCCCGCCTCACCCGCCTCACCATCCCGCCTCACCCGCCTCATCCGCCTCACCATCCCGCCTCACGCCTCACCTCGATGCCACCTCATTGGGGGTCGAGATGCTCAGTATATACTACTCTGGTGTGGAGCTTTTTCTAAAAGTAGTGCGGCGACGCGTGTTTATTTCCCCCCCCCCCCCCCTCTTTTTTGTTTCTTAAAAGTCGCCTGATGTTTCAGTTCGATCCCTTTAAAAATCTCAAAAATATCCTTCAGGGTGGAACAGGGTGACCTAGGTAATGTATGGGTACATAATCCATTGCGTTCATAACTGCACTAACGGATGCGGACTAACGTTTCTTTTCAGGCGTTACAGGCAGCCAAGAATGACTTCAGTCTCGCCAACCGCATAGTTTGCACTGCCTGGCGAGGGATATGCGATGACAAGGAAAATCCATAATGGGGAGGGATACATTTTGCTTGACCAATTAACGGTAATTTTATATAACAATAATGAGAGCTTTATAATTTCAGGGGTGTGATTTGTCCGGATTTTTCCAGATTTCCGGATTTTAGTCTAACGTCTGCGGAATTTTATGCGGATTCCGGATTTCCAACGTTTTCTGTTTCCGCAATATCGCTCAAAAACTTCTGGCGAAATATAGGCCCTAATTTACGATAATGGACAGACTTGTGACACAAGTCTAATAAGCAGTGCAGTCAAGAACCTGATGGACATCAATGCAGTGTGCGCAGTGGAGTACTTCAGGACCAGACTAAAGATAATTTTCAATGGGTTTGCACCTCGTGAGCTCAAATTTGTATCCTTGTGGAGACACGCACACAATAGGGAACAAAACATTGTAAAGGTCTCCACAGGGCAATTTCTATAGATGAATAGGTCTCCACAAGGTTTTCACGAAATAGATATATGGATTTTACTCAAAAACTAGGAATTTCCAAGATGGGTTGATTGCTCGCAAATGGAAGAGTTTTAAAAAAGGGATATTTAGTCCGAATTTCAGCCAAGGAAATTAATTCTAGTTAAAATAAGAGCATTTTGAAACTTCACTTTCAAAATCGAAAACTTTACTACACGAGAACAAAGAAATATCTCCACAAGGATACAAATTCGAGAGTGCATGCTTGTTTGTAATTAATATTGTAGGCGTGTGGATGTGTGTGTGTATTGTGTATGACTGTGCAGTGACGATCGTGAGCTAGCAATTTGCAAAACACTTTGGTGTCAATATTGCCGCGATGAGTATCAGCAGTGCGAGATTAGTTGCCAAGAACTTAAGAGTATGGTTGGAAGAACTTGTAAGAAAGTGTCACTGTGGATGGAGAAATCAGTTTGAGCTGCAGTAGTGCTTTGAAAAATAACCACCAACATTGACATAAATAACCATTGACATGGAGTCATCCTGTTAAAGAAACTACTGTATTATGTCTTTTCCCAATCCGTCACTTTTATGGAGCGTTGGGAATTCGGGACTCAAATCGTGACAGAAAGCTTAAAATTGTTGCAGGCTGTATATTGTTGTCATTTTGTTATTTCAGGGCTGACAACCTGGTGGACCTTGGTAGGCCACGAGTAAGAACAACATTGCTTAAGCTTGCAAAACATTTTTCATGACATAAGTTATTGGCTCAATACAACAGGGAAAACCTATGCCATTAAAACTGTCTAAACTTTGAACACATTACACAATCTTAGACGCATTGTTTGAAACTGTTCCAATTGTTTGTCCATGTTTTATTTTTTTTCTTTCAAGTCGAAACACTTCCAAGGTACAAGTGGGCATACGTATTACGAACATTTTGGTTGACCAGTTAACGGTAAGTCTTTATAATAATGAGAGCTTTATAATCATTGGACACAGAGTCATCCTGGTAAAGAAACTAATGTATTATGTCTTTTCCCAATCCGTCACTTTTATGGAGCGTTGGGAATCCGGAACTCAAACCGTGACAGAAAGCTTTAAATGGTTGCAGGCTGTAGTGTTGGCATTTTAGCACGCGGTAGGCCAATATTAACAACAAAATTCAGAATACACTTGCAAAAAAAAATGCTTGCTCCAGGATACAAATTATACAATGACACATACACTTAAAATCCCTTGCTTTAATATTTGTTTAAGCAACGTAGGCCTACATCAAATTCAAAATCATAATCAATTTGCCTCTTTTAAGGCCAAAAAAAGTCTCCGGTTTTTGGTATGGAGCTTGCCCAAAAAGTGGTGCGGCGACGCGGCTATTTTCCAGGATTCCAGTCAAACCAGTGAGTTTGGCGGTTTTGAGACATCATCTTTCATTGAATAAAAAATTTTTTCATTTTGCCGACGCGCATGGCTAAAGCGACGCGCGCGCATACAAGAAACCGGAGACTTTTTTGGGGACTAATATGTAGTGTACAGTGTTTCATGAAGATTAGAAGTACAATGGCAAAATTTTGAATATTTTCTCAGACGATTTCGGATTAAACATTTGATTTTGAACATTTCTTGATTTTCACATCCTGTACGTTATCTACCCGCAATTATGTCATGTACTTGCTGCAAACTGGCTCGTTTGTCGGAATTGTCAACAAAGGCCGCGTCCCTGGCTTTCTGCAGGCGTGCGACGGGTGATCTCTTGGTGATGCAATCCAAAATAAAGCCGAGTGAGAAGGTGTCTGTCTTCACTGATGGATGAGCTCCGCGAAGAAGCTCCTGGGCAATCCAAGGGTACCGTCTCCTCTATTGCTGTAGCTTTCCCACAGGCGGTTTGCGTTGGGGTTTAGTCGCGCCCAGCTCCTGTGTCTTGCCGAAGTCAATAATGAGAGGAGCGAAGGCCATGTTCTTGCGAAGCAACACGTTGTCGTCTGAAACATATCGTAACATAAGGCCAAAAAAAAAAATAAGTCGGTCTGTGGTCAGCGCGCGCGTCGATTTTAAGCATGCGCGTCGATCTTTTTTTTTCCAAAATGTTCCGCGGTAGCTCCAACAGCGCCCTCTATTTCCGCACCTCCTCAATTTTTTTTACCAAAGAGCACCAAGGAATGGAGAACTGCACCAAGGCAATTGATCGAAAGCACCAAGGCAAATTATGAAGGCCACCAATGTACATGAGGACACCAAAAAAGCAAAATAGTAAAAGCCGCGTGGCCGCGTCAATTCCGGAACTTTGGTCTGACCAGAGACCGAATATTTTTTTTTTTTGGCCTAACATACGTTAATTCAAATTTAGTAGTGATTTATGAGCTGACGTACTCTTCTTTCCTTTCATTTTTTTAAGTGCAGCACATATTCAAGCATATAGCCTAGAGTCATTCTTTCTAAACACGAATATTTGCTCCAAGGCCAACCATTCAAGTAAATGAAGTAAAATGAACATGAACCCTCGTTTAATAATGCGTTCCCCTGGCTTTTTTTGTGAGTTTAAGCTCAACAAAGACAGATCTTTCTTTAATTCTTTCCCCGTTTGAACACCTGCTTTCAAAGCAATATAAAGTCTGTCACTATTACATGAGACTCCGAACCCAGGGAAAAAAAAAATCGAATTTCGGTTTCAAATCATCGCAAAATTACCAGGGATATCTGAATCAAGATGAGTTGAACTAAACCGCATTTTTCTTTTTAGGGACAAATTTGTGCTCCAAAGAAAGATTACGTTAATGAAGGGCTTTCCGTTTTCACGAAGAGACAAAAAATCATCGCGTGGCAAGAAAAAAGGTCGTCAGAAGCACAGACACGCAATTTGTGCTTCCATTTTTGACCTACAAATTACATAAGGCTGAAATGTTGAACTTTTTTCATCTAAAAGTAGCTGATGAATTGGCTTGCCAACCTTTTTGGTGGTACATAATTTTTTTGAATATGAAGTGTATTTTTTGGGGGGGGGTTCCTCTTTTTTGACTCGCCCTATAAACCAGACTGAACGTTTACGCAGGAATTACTGTTAGGTGAATTAATAATCCTAAATTAAATTCAATTAAATCTCTACGAATATTCTGTTTTGAAAAGTAACCAACTTTACACGTGATTCTTTCGAAAGTTTTGGACTGCACAGCAAGATTTGTCTCTTCGTGAATACGGTGACGAAAACTAGAATAGCACGGTGGCAAAATGTCTTTAAGATGCAACATGGAGTCGTGTAATGTAGTTTTTATCATTCGTCCTGACATATAACCTTGTTATATCACTTGACGAAGTAGTGAACTTTGTTCTGTAGGCCTAATTGATAACACCTTACATTTAAAGTTTTTTTTTAAATAAAATTTACCTTTCAAGTCGTTGTGTATAATGTTACTTCTGTGAATGGCCTTGACTCCCTCCACCATCTCCCGACACACCTTCATCCATGGAATAACTCTACTGAGAGCCCTCTCTTGGGTTGCCTTCAGGACGGTGATGTCCCCGCCGTACTGTATAACCAGTTTAAACGGTGGCTCGTCGAGGCAAACGCCGATGAGGTGCGGCAGGTAAACACAGGCTTCGAGTGTCGACGTGGCTCTGGCTTCTTTCAGTGCAACTTTGCGCAGGTTGTTGTCACTGAGTTTCGTCGGGTTGGTTGAAGTCTTCACAGCGACATGGAATCCTTTGTAGGTCGACAGTTGGCAGGAGCCAAAAGTCCCTTCTCCTAATTTTTTTTCCCATCGGGGAGGTCCTCCCTCTTAATGTTCATGTATGGCGAAAGCCATGCTTGTGGTGACATTTTCTGCTCCTCCTCTAGAGCTCTTTGTAGTGAAGCATTTTCGTTTCTCAGCTTCTGTTCTGTTTCTTTGAGATTAGAAATATCTTCCCTCAGAGCTCGTTCCTCTTGCGGTGTTTCAACGGAGGGCTGATCAGAGCTGGAGGACAAAGGCACAATGTCATGATTTTCACATGCGCGGTCTGGTGGCGATGAGTGACTTTTGACTTCAGGCCATAGTACATCCAAACCGGCCTTGGATTTAACCTCGACTTCCCTGGCTTGCCTCGCCTCAGTTGACTGAAGGTTTTGCGGAGCAGTCTTCCAATCCGTCTATAACTAAGAGTCGGGAATACTGCTCGGACTTTCTCATGAGCAAGGCTGACGGCTATGCGCCCTGATTTATCAGCCTCAAAAAAGATTACGGATCGCGGCAGTAGGAGAAGTCATCCGGCCGTGCTTACGCTGGAATGCTGGATAGTGGCGGTGTCGTTCACGTTCACGTGCCAATTTTGCCGCCAAACTTAGTCCTGGCCTATATATTGACGCACCAACGGTGGCCGCTGTAAGCCGACTAAGAGAACAAAACATTTGGCCACCACTTTTCATTTCCTATGCGAACAACATAACTAATAATAGAATTAGAATTTGAAGTAAACAGCCGATTTTTATCTCATATTTTCAGTCGTATTATTTCAGGAACAGGTCTTCTCCTCAAGAGCTATTTTCCGTATTATAGGCTTCTTTACCAGCTGAATGAGCTTCGAACGAACACACAAATCGACAACCATTACTGCATCACTGTTTAAAAAAAAATCGAATTGTACAATGTCCAAAAATAATTTCATTTTGTGTTTGATTTGTTTTCAATGTGGGCAAGTGTGAATCCAAATGAAAGCACTTTTCAAAAAAAATCGCAAAAGCCAAAACTCACAAAATCTGTTTCTTTGTTCAAATCGATTCACAATCCGTGAGGACAAAATGCTTTTCTTACGAGAACGATAACGCATCTTTATTGCAAATTGTTGCTACAAAGTGTCAAATCTCCTTCAATTGGAAATTTTACATACAGATCGCACAACAGAAAATATTAACAGGGCTAGAAATCCTCATCCCCATGGCACAATCTCTTTGTGGATCTCATCCAACACGATAAACCCGCACCCCATGACAAAATCTCGGACCCCTTATAACTCTAAGCAAATTCTAACCTACAACACAAGAATCCCGCACCCCCATGGCCCAATCTCTCACCCCTTATAAGTCTTGGCCAATTCTAAACTACAACAAGAGAGACCCGCACCCCCATGACCCAATCTCGCACCCCTTATAACTCTTAGCCAATTCTAAACTACAACATGACAAACCCCCATGGCCCAATCCCGCACCACTTGTTGCTCTTAACCAACTCTAACCTTGTGAGGGGCGGATCAAGGAAGTTAAGCAGGGGGATGAGGCCCGTCTAACTTTTCCTTTAATCCTGCTGCAAATCACTGCGAAATTTCTCCGTACACTTGGCCTCCGTAAATTAAAAAATAAATGTGTGTTGGTGTGTCTCTGCATGATGACTCATTAGGATGTAAACGTGACGGAGAATGAAGTCAGTCAGAAGCCTGTATTATTAGTGGCGAATTTCCTTTTTAAACATTGGGATGTTGTCATCTAGACTGCATTATTGCATTACTGCGCTATTTTTTGTTTTGTTATACACTGTAAAACCGTGTGTTTAACTTCTAAACACATATATAAACGCATATCTGTAACACTTTATAAACGTTTTGACGCGTTTATAAATAAACACTGAACACATATATGTTTAACATCTGAACACTAATATAAACACACAACTGTAAAACTTTGTAAACACTTTGACGCGTTTATGAATAAACACTGAACACTCATGTTTATATTTGAACACTAAACGTTTATTTCTTTAAACACATAAACATATGAACATGTTTTATTTACTGTTTACTTTCTAAACACAATGTACTTTTAAACACGTCAATGTGTTTATAGCATAAACACATTGATGTGTTTACAGCATGTAACACTTTATAAATGCTTGGACGCGTTTAAGTACTAAACACAGTGACGTGTTTACAGCCTGTAACACTTTATAAATGCTTGGACGCATTTATAATTACCTTGATGTTTAAGTACTAAACACTTCCTTTAAATCACCAGAACACATTTTTTTTTTACTTTCGTCTTTTTAAATCCACACGAGCAGAATGGGCATGTAGCCATTGAGTATAATTTTCTTTTCACATATCAAAGAAGGTTACTTTTTTGTTATATTTGGTTTTCTATAGATGTCAAGTTCGAGCAAATTTTGTTGATTCAATTCAGGGGGTGAACACAGATGTGCAAGAAAATTGCTTCAGCTGTTAAAAACCTGAGATTTATAATAATCATTACAATTAATCTTGAAATGGATATCAGCAAAAACCATTTATGAAACATGGCATAATTCATGATTCTGAAAGTGCCAGCTGTGACGGTAGGTTTGAGAGTGAGGCTACATGCACATATAAAATTTGTCCTTATCATACGATTAATATTTTTCATATGATCAATGCGCACAATGGAAAAACCTCAGTTTCATAAAAATGCTTCTAATTTTAAAACCAGCACTGATCCTTGTGTAACTTATCATGTTTCATTGATGGTCCGTCATACAAGGTGGAGAACAGAAATCGTATCAGACTTAAAAAAAGAAAGAATAATTGTGGGTAATTATGCGAATCCAACATGTATATCGAGACGCTGCTGATGAAGAAGGGATAGTTGAATGTGTTAACATCTTACACAAGCTTTGTAATTGGTTGGAAACATTTGATTTAATTGATTAAAATGACCCTCAATCAGTAAATTTTGCCAAAAATAAGATTTTTACAAAAAAGGATTTAAATCAGGAATTTGAACAAATTCATTTGATTTAAATTGTGATTTAAATCAGTGAGTTAACCCTGGTAAAAGAAACAGTAAATACATCTAAAATGTCTATGTAGATAATCCACTGATACTTAAGCAATAACATTATTCCGGTTCATTTTTGTTCAACATCTGAAATATTTACAATTCACCGAATCACGAGTTTCCCTTTGTGGTTATTTAAAAAGCTTGAAAATTACATTGAAATGAGAATATTTGAAATCGGAAATGTAACAAATTTAACACTTTATGAAATGTAACATATAACACTTGAACATGCACTGCATGTGTGGCGGAGCCAAAAAGTTGTTTAAAATTTTCTGTCATTTATACATAGGAGTAGTTCCCCCTTTCAAAATGCATAGCCTTTGTTTAGTGGTCCCTGTATGTCTTGGTAGTGTGTCCCCCTGTTTGTTTATTTAAGTCCTCCAGTCCCCCCTATATAAGTTGCCACATGGTCAAGCCACACTTTAGTTTAAGTAGACCAGCAGTGAACATACATGTATATAGATAACACTAATGTTCCTCCTATAACTGGAGTGTGATCCTTATTGCTTGGGTTGTCTGCTTGTCTAGTCAGTGATGAGTTTTCTTTTGTATTATTGTCTTCTTTTACTTATTTCCAATTATTTACAGTAGTTAAATTAGTTAGAGTTCTTTGAAAGTTTGTTTTGTTTACAGTCTGAGTACAAGTTGATTCTGGTCAGAGTTATCTTTGAATGATTTCCAGTTTCTAGTTTTATACAACTATTCAGATTCCATTTTGTTTCTTTTTACCTTGATTATTTTTCTCAAGGTATTACTGCTCTAATTACTTCTATTGCTGATAGTTGATTTATCCTACTTAATAAGGGAGTTTGGGTATTTTAATAAAAATTCCGTTTAATCAAGTACAATTTGTTCCACTTGATTCGTTAGGTTAATCCTGAAAGTAGGGGATTAGTGTCTCCCACTTCCTTTGTGTGCCAGAACTGTTTATTGCCTACTGAATATTCATTAGATTATGTTTCTCATCTTAGTTTCCATGTGTTTTCTTGTTTTTGCAGATTGAAGTTAGAGTGAGCTTACAGATTCATTATAATTTACACACTGTGTTGGTTTTTGGTCTGTCCTTGTTCTCTGGTTATAGTTCTAGGTTTAAACATTGGGTTTTGGTTTTATAGTTTCTTTGGTTTTCGGTCATTTAGTTCCATCACATAGTTCTTTTAAGTCTTGAAGTTATTAACAGTTTTTTATCCAGTACATTACTGAAGGACCTGAACTTGGCACTTTTTTTTCCATCAAATGGAATGCCACCTACTACATGTGACTGAAGTGTGCCCAGAAGCTGGGAATAGATCTTTGGATAATCTAGATCGAACACATAGTATACAGCAATCAATGTGAGCATCGCTGATGTTATAGACTTGTCACTGGTTGAGTGGCACATAATGCTTACAGTATCACCAACGACAAATGTGCCAGCAATTGTACCACCTTTTTTTAGAACCAGCAAATGGGGTGGGTCCCGGTCTCCTGTCTTCAAGACTTCTTCAACTTCATCATCTGAGATATCCTGAAAGCAAACCAAGGTTTTAAAGGTTGTGTCAAGACGTATCTGCAACTAGGCACGGAAGTATAATGTTACAATCTGTTGCCCACATCAGAGCAGACTGGATGTAGTCCTCGTACATTCTGGGTAAACGTTTGCTTGCGATTTTTCATCAGCACATATAAGGGAACAGCTGCTTTTTTCTGCCTTAAGTGTGCATGTCAGTAACTTAAGTCAAATGCAATTTGCTTACTCTTTGTAATTAAGTAAAAATATTACACATCTTCTAGTGGGCCAAATTCTCAAATTTTGTTCTTGAACACAAAAAATTAAGTGCCTCTTGCGTCTCACATATACCACTAAGCCATGGCCCTGTGGCACACGAGCGCAAGTGGGATAAATAACATTATCTTTGAGCAAATTTGTATATTATACTATATCGCATAGTCCATATCGCTATTCCAAGATGCAAGCAACATTTCAGCTGAATGCGTGTGTTAAACCGCTAAATGGTTGTGTAAAGTGTGTTAGTTACAACTTACCGTGTGCGTCAAGTTTACTTGAAGATAAATTAGTTATAGCACTCAAGCTCGTGGAACACAGAAAATGTAGTGCGTCTGTGTCCCACATACCACTCGGCCGAACACAGACGCACTACATTATTCAGTGTTCCGCTTGCGCTCGCGGGATAACTAATATAGTTTCTTTTTGCCAGACAAGTTAGATTAAAAGCATAAAATTATCATTCACTAACCTCTTTAATGGTGATGACAGACTTGCTTTTCACACCCTTGCCTTTGTCAAAAGCTGTTGCCTTCTCAACATGGCGGATAACAGGGATTATCCTCTCAGGTTCCTATGGGCATTTCAGAACCAAATAAAAGCAATTTTCTTTCTATATACTCAGTGCTTCAAAAAATGTATCATTTGGTTGCCTAGCTGTTAACCCATTAACGCCGGGGGAGCTAATTGTATTGCCGTAAACCCACTTTCTGCTTATCCCCCACTGTTAAATATATGAGTCGTGCTTGTAGGTGGGGGGGGGGGGGGGGGGGGGGGTTTGGAGGAATGTGCTGCGTTCGCCCCAGTGAACAGAGGCCGCTGTGCAGTCATGCGTGTATGCTGGGCATTCAAAACCCAGTGTACGCAAGGCACGGGGTTCACATCCTCTCTTATTTACATTATTATCATATTTTTTTTTTGCTGGACGAAAGCACACAGGCAGACAGGGATGTCACATTGATCGAAATGAAGAATATATTAGGGGAGGTTCATGATAACATACGCCATTCGTATTTCATTCTTAATTAGAATGATATACGAGACCGTATACAAATCTTTCAAAATACCTTTGTTGATGTGCCGATGAGACTTTCCACCACGGTCAGGAAAATCTCCATCTTGTTTAGAATGGAGTCCAAGCTGCTTTCTCCAATGATTTTCAGGAAATCATGAATGACCTGTTAATGAACCAAAAGAAAACCTGTATTCAATTTGTTTTCCAGATAACTGTCAAAGTACATGTCCAACTATATATACCACTAATAATTCTCAAATAACATGTACATGTACTGTCTACAGATTGTCACCTGCATTGGCTTTTTGGGAGTCAAATTTGCGTGACCCGCAGTTTTGGAAATTTCAATCAACATGCGCATGTTTCTGGATCATTTTGCACACTGTGCGCACATATATGACAGCGTTAAATACATGTACACAGTTGTGATTTTTCTATGAAGAAGGCCGTCTATAAGAGTGGTTTATTTATTGGTGGTTGAAAATGTACTTTGTCATTCAGATCACTGTGATTGGGAGCTCTTTTATCTCACTTCTTTGAATTGACATATCGCCGTTTGCGCACCCCTTTAGACAACCCTATGGAAAATTTCGTACCCTAAGTTTTGTTTGTCTCAGTTGTTGCGTGTTCCGCATCAATTTGTATATCCTTATAATTGGACAATACTTCACAAGCTGCGTTGACGCGATTCTAACGTGATTCTACCACGATAGGTCAATAAGCCTATGAAAAAGATTTAGTCCGCTTTATAATGACACCTTACTTTTTATACTCTGCTGTCTTGGATCCGGATGACTGATTTCAAAATAGAGGGCCAGCTAGTGAACCCATATTTTTGCCAAGTTGTGCTGAGTATTGACTTGTCCAAATAATAATGTCTATGGTCCAGATAGTACAGTGAGAGTACATTGTTTGGACAGTTCATGCCATCACGGATTCAGACAACTTGGCAAAAAAAGGTTTGGAGCTTTTGTTTTTAAATCAATGGTCTTCAGTTATCCATAACTGCTGGGGTATACCCCCTTTTCAGATTTAACCAAACTGACAGTGTTTGGATTGATGTGTACACCCGTTGAACGGAAAAATCATTTTTTTTCTCATCTGATTTCACCTGATTCGATGTAATCGGAAAGGTGTGCGGGCAGCACTCCAATTTCACCAGATGTAATATTTACAGATGCGGTCTAACCGCAAAGGTGAAAAATAAACATACTGGCGATTTTGTGATCCAGTCAACAAGTAAACTTCTGAGAGGTGCGCGCTGGGCTTTATGCACTGGATCAGCTTTTTTTGGATACTTAAAATACAGCTTAAATTAAACACACTTACCAGACTGCCATCTTGGTAGCATGGTATTTTCTGCAGGATTGGCTCCATTTTGGAATCTGGTAAACTTTTGATCCATTGCTGGTTGCAGGCGAAGGTTTCACTAAGGAGGAGCATCAAGTGGTTCTTGTTCTTGGTGTTGCCTTTACTCCATTCTCGTCTTACTTCAGCAAGATGATTCTCATAGTCATCAGCAGTCAATGATGAAACGTCTTTCTGCAGCAGATGGACATGTCCCACACGGGGCGCTTTGGCAGAACTCAAGCGTGGATTATCACTCTGCCTTTTTGGGGGTTGTGTCTTCTTCTTTTCAGCCCATCTTATGTGTCTGATTCGCTGACTCAGACACTTGGTGAAGAACGACTTAAAAAGAAAATACAAATTATAGACATACATAAAAAATACAAGGTAAATAGAATAATGGAGACATATTTTTGTAAACAGAATTCAAACAAATTGTTTGCCAAAATAGTAATGGCTTGCCTTATGGGCTCCCTGCACAAGTACTCATTCAACGGCAAGAAAAAGAGAGTTGGGGCAGACCTAGACGGGTTCCAAGTCCATCTACTGCCTATTTTGAATTATTCAAAGTTATTAGGGGCATGGATTAGTCTGGAAGCCCATCGCAAGATAGATTTGTATGTTTTCGCGCACTGACGCCGCCTGACGTTAAAGATGCTGGGCTAATAGCTTTGGCACATTCTGGAAGTCATGCGTACTTTGCGAGCGAACCAATACAGTATAGTGCGCAAGCGCTGTGTGTCCTGTCCACCGTACTCTATGCCCTCTTTTGTTTGCGCACGGGGCCCATACTCAAAGGATGGGAAATTTCAAGTGCACTCCAAGGAAAAAACAATGTAGATGGTTGCAAGATTATTCCACACCTTATATATTTCAGCACAAGTAGAACATGTATTTTGATGCGGATCGAAACACAAATGATGCAGATCGAAACACAAATCCAAAGGTGCTGAAATACCAAATTCCAAGATGTTAAAAAAATAACTTATTGTCCTACAGAGGTGAGAGATTTTTGAGACAATAATTTCACAATGCACAAAGTTACCCCTCCCCCTTCCCATAGGGAAAGAATGTTGCAGCTTAATTAAGATGCGTGATGTGTGGACCTCATGAAATTTCAGGGTTATCAGAGCCATAGCAACTGCAAATACGCACACGAAATAGGCAATCCCCTACATGTACATGTATATGCAGTTTCTTTCTGGCATACAGATTTCCTTAGCGTAAATGTTTTGACAGGTGTATGCACTTTTTTTACACATGGGATGAATATGGCAACCATAAGTCCATGCATAGTAACATACACATTTTGAAGTTTGTATAGAGACATCCATCTTCACAACAATCACCAATTATTACTCCTTACCCACTCCTTGTCTCCTTCACGTGCAATGCTTGGAAAGGCTGAGAACATCTTTCTTCCAATCATCTGGTACTCTCCTGGGCTGCCTAGTTCCGGATATTTGCAAACGTAGAAGTTCGCTGATTCCGAAATTAGTTCCCTCCAAATCCTTGACTCTGTTGCCGATTTGAGGTGGTGTTCTATACGAGGACTGAATGTGGGAAGTGGGCTCGATGATGTAAGTCGACATGATGTGGGACTAGCCTCACCAGCATTTGATGAGCCTTCAGCAATCGTCACAGCTCGTGCTGGTGATGAGGCCATGCAAGCAGGGGTAGTGTCTCCAGATCCAGTAGCTGCAGTTCCTGATGATGGAATAGTATCTGCAACTGGAGTATCCTGTGTTGAAGGTTGCCATAGTTCGCCTTTCTTCAGAAGTAACAATGTGAATTTGAAGCTCATCAATACTGACGCTTCATAGCCTGACTACATGTACTTGATGATATCTGAGGAAAGGTATGCGCGCAACTTTAGGGTATAATGGTAGCCATTTTGGATCTTTATTATGTCATCATAATCATCCAATCTCTGATATGCAGTAGAAAAAGTTTGTTTAAGCAAGGACATGTAAGTAGAATCCCCAAAATATACTTTAACGGCAGGTATTAACGATTTATATATATTTGTTTACTTTACATTTGATTTACTCTAATGAAGTGAAGGAGTAAACTGTCAAGTAACACATGTGGGTGCTACTGACTAATAATCAAACTTATATGCAACAGTATTTATCATCAAGCAAACTTGAATTTTGATTCTGATTGGTCGATCCATGCATGGCAACCCTAGTGCGATATTATACAGTGCTGCATGTACGGTCCATATAAATCGCACCCTGCGTATTGCGCTATTCCAAGATGCGAGTGACATTCCAACTGCATGCGCTAAACTGCTTAAAGGTTCGTATAAAACATGCTAGTTCACACTTTACTGCGCCTCAAGTTTGCTTGTGGAACACAGAAAATGTAGTGCGTCTGTGTCCCACATACCACTCGGCCGAACACAGACGCACTACATTATTCAGTGTTCCACTCGGACTCGTAAGATAAGTAATAATATTCACATACCTTTTTCAATTAACTCCTGGAGACTGTTGGCTGCAATACTCTTTCGTAGTGACCTACATGTATCACTACTCCATACCTTAAAGACGGGCATATCTGTGAATAACTGGCAAAGTTCTGCAATTATGGATATGTGCAAATTATTGAAAAACAGAAATCATTGCAGTTTCAAGTGGACAATATATTTGTATTTTACCTTTTTTAAAACACTTTTTTTTAACCCTGAAAGAGCTTGAGGATCTGCACCACCCATCCTCAGTGCATTTGTTTCCTATTTTTTTTTTTCTTTTAAGAGATGAGCAAACCACGTACCCTCCTACCAAGCCTAATTATAATAGCAAACACTTTTCTTTTAAAGTTAGGCCGTGAAATATCATAGTACCAATGAAATTTGTCAAAACGTGACATTTCAATTCAAGATCATATTATGTGATGCGATCAAGCTAAATGAGTCGTTTGTTGGCAATTGTGATTTTAAAATACAGCCCAAATAGGTCAGTAGGGGTGGAAATTTCAAAATTGACATTTTAGTAAAGTTGGAAGGCTATGTCGTCGCAGAGCTGCCAAACCGGTGTATCGAACATTTTGCCGATTTGAGATTTTGTAGTTTTTAAAGGTTGCTCTTTCAAGTATTTATGCCCAAATTCCTAATTCTTGTCTGGATTTTGAGATTCGGAGCCCTGCCTGTGGCGAATCAGTCAAAATAACAAATCCATAATTTGAGTGACAAATACGGAATTTCGCTGGTTAACCTGCTAAGGTGTGCTTTCAAAGTACCAACGAAAGTTATTCGTCAGTTTGTTGGATCGCGCGTGCGCTGTATACAGTCCAACTTCAAACGTGAATTACTTGATACAAGGTTTTCGCTTATTCGTCGCTATGTCAGCTCTGCGACGATATGTCCTCTTTCATGTCAACTATTTTGTTTCCGAGAAAAACTCAGGATAGGTAGTTAAAATGTGACATTTTTGCCAAAGAGTTAATATCCAATAACCTGAAAAAAAGCATGTTTTTGTGTTGCTTAATAAACACTTCAATTTTGAATCGTTGATTTCTCTGTTAGATTTCTCTGTTTTCTTCTCAGTTTCTGATCTGCCTGTGTTCTAAGTCCCAGAACTTCTGAACTGAAGGTTGTGTTCACGTGGGGTTTTCACCAAATACAATCTGAAAAATAGCTCTCTTCAAAAATGAAGGGAAAAAACCTCAACAATTTGATAAGGGCCAACAAACAACTCCTTCAGCTTGATCGCATTACATTTTTGCTTTAAAAACAAATTTTCATTTGGATATTTTAGAATACATGTTTAGGCCAAATAAAAAAGTCTCCGGTTTGCACGTCGGCTTTGTTTGATGATGTCTCAAAACTGCCAAACTCACTGGTTTGACTGGAATCCTGCTGGTGCACAATTTAAACGTGTTTTAAGATCGGGTTACGATCGAGTTCAAGCTTTATGCGGCCTCTCTGGACTCCCATATATTTTGCACTAAATTTAGTCTGGAACCATTTGCAGGCAGCCGACATTTGAAGAAAAAAAAAGTAAAAAAAAAAAGCTGTGTCGCCGCACCACTTTTGGGGCAAGCTCCATACCAGAAACGGGAGACTTTTTTGGGGGGCCTTATCATGGTTTAAGCAGAAAAAGGTAAACTGGACATTATCACATACAGAAAGAAGCTGAACGAAAGCAAAGCAGGTACTGCAATCTAATTTGGCAATGCATTCAACTGCGGGGACAAATAGGATTTACAAGCAGAACAAAAGATCTAAAAAAAAAAAAAATACCAACAGGAAGAAACAATTAAAGGTGAATTTTACGGGCACTTTAACCACTGCAAATCAGCAACAGGCGTCATCACTCTCAGAACAACCAGGAAAGCAAAAATTACAAGCATTGCCAAAGCTCCATGTAATCTAATTGCAAAAGTTGCAATAGATGTGGGTTTTTTCAACAACACAATTAAGCAACAACACAATTAAGAAAGAAAAGGACTTGACAAAGAGGTCATAGAAAAGTGACTGATTTCTACAGAGATAATGAAATATCATGGCAAACATCTGTTATGAAAGACTTTGTAATTATTTGAGGTACATGTAGCGGTACTAACCTGACTAAGCAAAGATACAGAAACACTATCTTCTGACAAAAGTCATAAGGAAACACATGGGTGATTCCACCCCGACGTGGACATACATGTATGACTCAAAGAATTAATTCGCTCTCAGATATTTTCTTTTTACTTTTTAAAATATTATTCCAAATACATGAAGTTATTCCACACAAAAGTGGACAAGGCTGAAAAGTGGAAACTGTCTGACATCTTCCAAACTACAAGTACAAGCATCACATGTCAAATGAAAATCTTTCATTTGAGTTGTGTGAAATGAGATGAAATGTAAGTAATTGTGAAACTGTGGTCAAAGATTTGTTTTTCGGGGGGCTAAAATCACTATTATAAGAAAAGAGTTTCATTATACGCTGCAATTTAACAAACTCAGACTTTATGACATGTTAAAAAATGTATGAAGAGGAAGTAACGGGAGTGCATAGTGTGAGTAACAGTACATGTACATGTACCTCCCTCTCTGATTTGACCCCAACTACTGAGGTTTTTTTTTTATATATCTAGCTATCTGGGTTGAATGAAAGGTTAAACATATGTAACTTGTGTTTTGCAGACTACAGGTTGAGGAGACTACAGTTTGAGGCAAATTGTGCACAAATTACTTTTTGTAACGTGAGTGACTACCAACAAAACACATGTTTTCAAAAGTGAATGAATGGGCTGAATGTTTCTTTCCATGTTTTAGTGCCCCTTACCCCAAACATAAACTCATTTGATTGAAATTATCCCCATATTTTTTGTAATTGATACTCAACACACTAGGCTAGATCAAGATGTCGACTTGTATGCATTTGACAGCTGTGCAAAATGGTAAGTATGCTGAAGGGACACGTGCCAAAATACATGTATCACTCATTATTATTTTGCTAGTGTTGTAAAACAAACAACACTACAGCTTTTTGATCATCTCTGATTTGACCCTGAATACTGAGGTAAATTTACCGCATCCCTAGCTGCCACAACCCAATTTTATAAGGAAAATTCCAGTTCAGAAAGCCACTGTCACAGAAGAAACAGCACTTACTACCACTGTATCACAATAGCATAGTACAGTAATTGTAAGTATTAAGTACCGTATCTTCGCAGTCATGGTGACATTTGAAGCACTTTATTCCAAGCAAAAGTGGACAAGGCTGACAAACTGTATACATGTTGAGTGGTGCCACTCAAATAAAATATCTGACTTTCACAACACACGATACTTGGTTTGAAATTGATTGTATACAGTTTGTCAGCCTTGTCCACTTTTGCTTGGAATAAAGTGCTTCAAATGTCACCATGACTGCATGCCTACAGTACTACACATATAACTTACAATTACTGCACTATTATGCTATTTTTACTTGTGTGCAACTTTAGTTCAAAAACTTGTGTTTTTGTGGCCAAAATCATGGAATGTCGGTATACATTTTGGCACATTGTTTTGCATGAAAAATGTGAGTGTTTTGTCATGTGAGTTTAAAGCTTTTAAGGCAGATAGAGAGAAAGGTACAATAGATGTTTCATTATGTTGCAGTTCAGGAAATAAAGATTTTATCCTGTGCTAGAAACATCATGAAGAGGAAGTAATGTGAATGATGTAATGTAAGCGACGGTTCCTCCTTGTAATTAAATGTCACTGGCATCTAAAATACACACTGATTTGATTCAAAATGTGTTTTTATATCTAGCTTCAATGTGTGGGTTGAATGAAAGGTAAACAAAAATACTTCTACAGGTGTTGCGGTTTGAGGAGAATTGAAGAAAAAAAATGCAAGAAAATGTTGGTTTTTTTTGTAACGTGAGTGACAACCAACCGAAACACATCTTTTCAAAAGTGAATGACGTACTGAGTTGAATTTTTCTTTCAATTTTTGAGTACGGTACATGTACATGCATGAATTTGATATGATTTAAGTGACCTGGTCTATTCAGCTTGATCAAACACTTTTAAGGCAGCGAGTATAGACTCAGGGCAAATCATGAGTGATGGTGGAATTGCCCCTATAATTACTGGCCATGACAATTATGCATGCATCTTAAAGCAGTTCACACATGTGTGAATACTTATTAATTACACACTTTTCCCCATCATAAGCATGTACACTCAGTGGCCACTTAGAAAATAACTGTGAGTATGTGACCCCAACTTGTTCACCAGTAGACCTCAACACATATGCCATGATGTGAGCATCAAAAGTCTCAGTTTCCATGGTCTCAACTATGAAGATCTTTTCATCATTGATGACTAAGACACTTTCCAACACTGCAAATTTTGGCAAGTCATCTTCATAGGAAAGGACTAGACAACAGCCTTGTCGGTATTCATGTCCTAGGATGGCAACACCTGTAGTCCTGTAAACCTGAAGGCCTTCATGCAGCTCAATACCAAGAGTGGCAGCTATTCCATCGACAAGTTGTAGAGTATATTCATTTCTCAAAGTGATGGACTCTCCTTCATTGACAATGTCACCTCTGTACAGAAAACTGCCATTTCCTTGGCCCATGGAATCAAGTTGCTTGAAACACATGTACTTCTGATGTTTCAGACTGATGCTCAGTGGGAGGTTTTTGTAGCACCTCCATTTCTTGGTTTTGAAGAAGCCGTGTTTTGCTTCAAAACGCATACACCATTGATGTCTCAAAGGTCCATACTGAAGCATCTGTCTTGGAAGGTGCACACAGTAGTGCATCTTGGGGGTAATTTTCCCCTTAGGATAGAGAGTAGCAAAGGCTGCATGATGATCATATGTGATCTGAGCAAGTAATGCTGCAGTACTGTGGCTACAATACGGACTTGTAGAGAGAAGTGTCATCTGTACCAGTCTTAGGAAATTGACCCATTTGGCTTCTGTCCTGGGTATCTTCGGCGAGATGATATATGGCAAAACACAAATGAGAGTCATGGTCGCCGCTGACGTTTGTTTAAGTTTTCCCTCTCCTTTTATGTGGTTCATGTCAAGAACTTCAGGCTTAGCCCCTGCTTCTAGATAAGAATAGGGAAAAGAAGCAATTCTAGAGTTCAGCCACTTCAGTGTGAAGTACCTTGAAACTAGGATGAAGTTATGTAGCATGTACTTCAGTTCATGGGGGATTATACCTTCCAGAAAGATATGCATCGGGTCATGCACAATACCTGAACACAGCCTGAAATCTGGGAGATCTTGGAGACAACTTTTACCATTAATGCCCCATTGCTTGCTCCAATATCGCCTTGCAGCTTTCGACAGATTGCCGTCAAGCAAATTACATCTTCTCCTGTGTTCTGCTTCATCCAGAAGGACAAATTCCTTTTCCAAGAACTTCTGCTTCATCTCCAATTTTTCAGTTTCACAATTCCTGCAAGCCCTACTTGCAAACCCAACACCCTCCTTAAAACCCCCAAGCATCTGTGCTGCTGGAGTGTCACATGCAGCCAAGACCACCTTTCCTTTAACGTTGATAGGTGCACCATTGACAGTCAACTCAAGACCTCCTGTAGAAAGACTTGTTGCATCTTTGATGAAGTCACTCAAGAAAACGCTAAGTCCGCATTTTTTGACATCCTTACTCCCTGCTACACCTAAGAGCTGTATGGCATGAAGTTGTGAACGACACTCTGGTGGTATGTTTGCCAAGGTATAATAAAACATGCTCAATTTATGTTTCTTGGTGTGAGATCCAATCGGATTTACGATTTCTATGTCGTCTGTGTGGAAAACGACCTGAAGAGCCTTGGGATTTCTGTGAAAAAATGGATCGGACCTCATGCACAGCCCATCACAAATGTCAAACATATAATCTGGAGGGCTGGTGTGTGGATTATCAATGTGCTTGTGAATGTCTGCCATGCGCAGTAGGTTAGTTAAACTTTGAGCAAAGGGCACGACATAACCAACGACATCTTTTCTCACTAAACTACCCTTACTGGTAACATACTTCTGTCCTATTGTGACACTTTTTGGAGGGATATAGAAGTAATCTTGCTTATATATGGCATCCCTTTTTTTTCGGGTATCAATGTCAGCCAAGAAATTATCCACTGGAATTGTATCCATGAAGTCAAGAGGAACACCCCGATCTCTCAGTTCATCTTTAGCCCTCGACTTGAACGATGCCACATGCTGATCAATCAGTACAGAAACTGATTTAATTACCTCATTCACAGAAGAATGTGTTAAATTGTGTCCACTCTCTAAGGCCAGAGAAAACATAGTGTTTTGGTGTCTTGTAGCTTCGTCTGCAGTCATCTGTAAAGCCTCATTTACAATTGGTAAACCATCCTCATTTTCGTCACCACTGGAATTACTGTCTTCAGCAGTGTTGTCCAACACATTAGCATCAATGTGCTTATGTTTTCGACACATGTGAGCTTTAAATGCACCCCAGCTTTTCGTGGAATAAAAACAATTACTCACACTACAAAAAACAATGAAATTGGGATCATGGCGGTGACATCTAACAACATGCCTGATAAACTGACCATAAGACATACTGACATAGCAGCACATGGAACAGTTAAATTGAGGTGCCTCCATCCCTGAAGTTTTAAGTAACGTACCAATAACAGAAAAAGAGGAAAAGAGAAAATAGGTAAGAAAAAAGAGGAAAAGATGATATTTCGTATAATTTTGTACACAGAAAATTAATGAGGAAAAAATGAGGAAAACTACACTAAAAAAAAAGAAAGAATCGGCTTAAAAGAGGAAATTTCACATGCCTGTGTGAAGATAATACAAGTATAACAATCTACAGCTAAGAATTTAGGTCCGGCTACATGTAGTAATTATAGCTTAACCTATACAGGCATGTGATATAACTACCAATGGGGAAAAAAGAGGAAAACATATTTCCTATAGATGCTTTTGTACACAGAAAGTGAAGAAAAAGAGGAAAATCAAAACCACTAGAAGAAGAAATCAGCTTAAAAGAGTAAATTTCACAAGCCTGAATTCCAACACAGCTTGTTCATTTCAGATTGCAGTACCTACATGTACTTAAAAAAAAAGAGCTAACTACAGCAATGGGGGAAAAATAGGGGGAAAAAAAGTAATCACAAACTTCAATTAAAGTTATCTACAAATATGTGATTAAGGCACTGCGTTAGTTCCCAAACCGCAATTTGGGGTTACGTCTGTCCCGTCAACAGGCTTAGATAAAAGCCTGCCGACATCGGTAATGTCTCGACTTTTTCAAGAGACAAGACGCCTCTAAACTTATGTAATTGATAATTAAATAGTTTACTGGCACAGTGACAATCAAAATATAGCTTGTTAAAATATAGGTTATACAAAAAAATGTATGCAATAGATTATACGTGAACAATGACCTCTTACATATTACACTCTCAAGACTATGCGCGCAGCACATCAGCACATCAAACCTGCCCGACGTTTGTGTTGCCAACTGCAAAGGAGAGAGGCAGAGAACAAGTGTGATATGGTACAGCATTGTAACAAATCTAGCATAATATAACACAGAGACAACATTAATAAGGGATTAAATGTGTGTGCGGGAGGTATTATAACAATCTGTTAAAGACCGGTGTGAGTCTGGATGGGTGATAATTACCCGAGGCAAAGCCGAGGGTAATTATTACCATCCAGACTCCCACCGGTCTTAAACACTGACCGAACACATATTTATTCCCATTCATAAATACTTTTTCGGTCGAAAACCCCCAAATCTTTTCTGTCCAAAAAATAAAAACAAGTCAAAAAGGAGACGTTGCCAACCATTTTGTTCAACGGTTTTACTTCATGTTTTACAAAACACCCCTCTGAATATAATATGGAATGCCCCTCCACAACTCGTTACCTTATAAGGACATTGGCGTGCGCGTCGCGCGTACTGGGCGATGTCGCGCAAAACGCAGCTGGGCTGGTATAGTGTAAATTTCGAACCATGAAATACTGATTCACTGCAGGTACTATATTGCGCATGCCTACGTGAAGAATGGGGTCGGTAGAAAAACCGCATTATTGGATTATTTTAAAGGAACTTCTATGATATTTTTTTTGACAGGGCCGGCCTTGTTTTTTTTAATACCCCCCCCCCCCCGGTTCCACGCCTGCGCACATTTACCGACAACAAAAACGGAACGAATCACAAAAAAGTCCTAAAAAGGCCTACGATCGGAGCACGCAAGTGTATGTATGAACCTGCAAGAAGAGTTTGAGGCCCATGGATATCCGGATCCATGTAAAATCAAAAAAATTCTGTAGCCTGTAGGCCTTATCTTACTGTGACTGTGAAAGTAGAAGGCCTAGGCATATGCCGGATCTAGCACAGAGTCTACTCAAATGTGTGGCCATAGAATAGGGTAGCCTATCCACCATTATATAACTGACATACAGATCCTAGTCATTTGATTGGTGGAACTCACATCACGTGGCATTCGTTATTGCTCCCATTCATGCCACGGCTCAAAAAGTACTATCCGCCCATGGGGAATGGGAAATACTATTCAACAGTTAGGATCATGACGCGGTATTTGTGTGCAAATGCATGCTGGTGTGCGCGTTCAGCGTTGCGCGTAGCGCGTATTGTTCCAAAGAGCCAGCGCTACAGCGTTGGGTTCAAACATTTTCGTGAAGGGGTGGTTTGGAAGAGACAAATACATTTTCCTCCAGGTTTGTATTGAAATAAAAGTTCAAATATATCAAATGACAAGGATCTATATGTCAGTTATATAAAACAAATATTGAGTGGCTTTAAATTGTGAAATGGGAGGAATATTATCGCTCGGTAAAATCGGAACTTTTCCATTTCACTCGGCTTCGCCTCGTGAAATGGAAAAGTCCAGATTTTACCTTGCGATAATATTCCTCCCATTCCACGCTGAGCCACTCAATTTTTGTATACTAGTACTAGGCTAGCATGACTATCATGACTATAGGCATAGCTTAGGCCTAACGTAATAGGCCTACATCATTCATGGCGATTAATTAATTTGAATAGACCTAGCATGCCCAGGGCAATGTACTGTAGGCCCTGAGTCATGCTAGCATTTGGCTAGTTCAGTTGTGAACACAAAGAGAGGGTAAAATGTTTTAATGGAAATATTTTTCGGCTTGAATGTCAATAGCCTACTCAGCATACATGCATATAGTCTAGCCATGCTTAAGTTGTACTTGTAAGTTGTACTTTTTGTAGCTGCTACAAAAGTGCTAGCCTATAGGTCGCCCTAGGCCCTATACCTTGCCTACGTCTACGGTCAGACGTCTAGGGTCTACGTACGTCATGGGGAGTTTTACCATGTGGCCTATATAGTCGTGTTCCCTAACGTGGCGCACTCTGAAGCCTACCCGACTTTCCTCGTGTAGAGTTGCCAAACCTCTTATTATTATTAATGCTTGCGATTTAACCTCTGTGAACAATTTCAGTTTCATAAAATTTAATCAGAAATTCAAATAGGTGGTGTCCGAAAAATGGGCACAAATTGGCGGAGTGTTCCCTAACATGGCGCACTTGAATAAATCTCAAAAAATTCCAAATTAACATTTAAGAATTTCTGTAAACTTGATAAATTCTGACATACCCAGCTGGATGTTTTCGAAGGGTTCACTTTTCACTTGAAAATGAAATTGGAAAATCACGCCAAAATAAATTGTTTTTCTTAATTTGTTACGGGTAAATAAACTCGCGATTTGAACAGGAGTGTTTCAAACTTGATGAAATTTTACTTTCTTTGAAATTTCAGTTAAAAGTTTTGCTCTAGATAGGCCCTAGGCGCTACAGGCGAAAAATCATAGTGCGCCATGTTGGGGACCGGCCACGCCACGTTAGGGTACATCAAGAATCGGCACAGGTAACGCTTTCAAATGCACGCACGTTGTCACACACAAATTGAAGGTAGATGCGTAGAAAAAGGACCGCGTAGCTAGTTAGGGGGTCTGACGATTGTTTGTAAGCCCAGGCTAACGACGATGTTAGGCCTAGGCTCTTGCCTAGCCTAGTCCGAGTAACTTGGCCGCACAAATCAACTTTTTTAACATTTGGACTGGTTTGGCGATAGTAGCGTCCAAGCGCAAACTTGCGTTGAAATCCCTGCGTGTGACACCTCAAAAAAAAATTTAAAAAATAAAAATAACCTTGATCATTTTCAGCCCCCAAATAGCCATAAAACGACAAGATATGCAGCCTAAGACATGTAAGATATCTGTAGACTTCCCTGATTAAGTGGGTGGTACACCGGTTGACTTACCATCTGGACGGAAAGTGGAATTTGCAGCTATATTCCGACAATATTCCGACACTTGAAACGGCTGTTTTAAGTGCCGCGCGATGGCAGCCCCTGCGCGATAGCAGCCTCGAGGAAACATTCGGTATAATGCAAGCACTCCTTTGCACGCAGCAGCATCATGATTATGCACACGTCACGTGAGCCCCGGGGTCACATGGTCATAACAACAATAGCTGACAATTCAAATACATTTTACGCGAACACCACGCAGTGAGTACGTGAGAAAAACTTGTCGGAATATAGCTGCAAATTCCACTTTCTGTCCAGATGGTAAGTCACTGGCAGTATACCACCCACTTAATCAGGGAAGTCTACAGATATCTTTCATGTCTTAGGCGGCATATCTTGTCGTTTTCTGGCTATTTGGGGGCTGAAAATGTTCAAGGTTATTTAATTTTTTTAATTTTTTTGGGACGTGTCACACACACAGGGATTTCAACGCGAGTTTGCGCCTGGACGCTACTATCGCCAAACCTGTCCAAATGTTAAAAAAGGCGATTTGTGCGGCCAAGTTACTCGGACTATGCCTAGCCTAGGCTAGCCAGGGTAACGTTATACATGTACTTGACTACCCGTGAACGTGGTGGCATACCTACAACCGCCATGCATAATTGAACAGCTTTCGATCGGCCAGCATACATTACATGGCATAGGCCTAGGCGGGAATAGAATTCTATTTTAGTCCCGAAATTTCTTTGGAATCAATGACAGATCCTACGCAACCCAAAGTTCGCGGATAAGGTTTTGTGATGTCATAAAACTATTAAAAGTGTTCATTAAATTTCGGGACTCATACGGAAATTCTATTCCCGCCGATGTTGAAAGCTGTTCAATGAGATGTATGCGTGGCGGTGTACAGTAGGCCTATACCGCCACGTTCACGGGTCTATACTGCCACTGGACTAGGCCTAGGCTGCGTTAAAATGTATAAAAAAAAACTGTTTCCTAAAATCAAAATGAAATAACCTCCGCACATATTGTACTACAAAGTTTCAGCTGTCAATAAAAAAATACAATGCACATTATTAATTACATAAAAAATGACAATTCCTTACCTTAAACTCGGAGCATGGATAGGCGCCCTAGTCCATGTAGTCGAATCAAGTCTGATCTGTACCGTTGAACACTCGTCGTATACGTACGTACGTACGTACGTACGTGTACTATACTCGACTCGACTCATCTGCCGACGCGCGACGCGACGTCATCACAGTATGCACAGTACGCGTACGTACGTGTGTACACGGCCTGGCCCGGGCGGCAATAAATGCAGAGCGACCGTTTCTGCACATGCAGATTTGGCGGTAAAATGACATTCGCATTGCATTTTGGGTATGGTTTAAAATTTCGGCATACATGTATTCCCCATATGGGGCAGTGAACCGGTCATATTTGTCAACTGTTATGTCTACAATTTATTTGTAAAACTGATTGTTCCTCATTTCAAATATTGATGCACAGATTTACACAAATTATATATTTGTAAAATCATTTTGTTTGAGCCTACAAACAGGAAGGGAGTGTCTGGAAATCTCCTTGGGTACCAGCTACAGGTAAAGCGACCCCCTGAAACTAGAAGAGCAGGCACAAGAACGATTGTGATTGGTTGTGACAGCTTGTGATCTTCATTCTCATTGGCTAATTAGGACGATAGCTCTTCTGGTTCCAGTACCATAGACTTGACCGTTATGTTATATGCCCCATAAACATAATTGTTTTGAATATTCACGCCCTGTTCAAGTTAAATATGTTTAAAATCTAGACACGTCGTGTTCCGGTTTTGAAACTAAACAGTTAATTAACAGTCATTCGTGCTCCTGATTAATTTTGTGTGTGTGTAATGATTAACATTAGCTGTCTACCCTTTTAGAACATCATTAAACTTTAATTACAAACAAAAAAATAAACATTGCTAAACACTGCACTCTCAAAACTGTGTTCAGCAATTATACACAATCATCTTATCATTTTTTGAAACATGTTTTGAAGCTAAACATTGTGCGTTCAATTCCTATAAACATCAATGTTCAAATCGATCCATTCTGACTATAAACATGTTCAGTATTTAAACATGTTTGATAGCAAGAAAGTGTTTAGAAAAGTGTTTAATTGCTAGACACTGTTTATGCATTATGCGTTGGTTTAAACACGTCACGTTTAAACCAACGCAACTTTCTCATAACGTAAACATCCAAAGTGTTTAATTTTCAATAATGTTTAGATTATGACTTTTGTGTTCAATTCCTAAACATCGATGTTCAATTGTTAAACACTATCCCTCTTACTCTAAACATGTTTAGTATTTAAACATGTGGCAAAGTGAAAGCAGGATCGTAGTGTTTAATTGCTAAACACTGTTCATACATTGTGTGTTTAGACCAACGCCGTATAACGTAAACATCCAAGTGTTTAAACGTAAACATCCAAGTGTTTAAATTTGCGTTTATAACGTAAACATCCAAGTGTTTAAATTTTCAATAGTGTTTAGATTATGTGTTCAATTCCTAAACATCAATGTTTAATTGTTAAACACTATCCCTCCTATACTCTAGACATGTTTAGTAATTAAACATGTCACAAAGTGAAAGCAGGAAAGTGTTAGAAAAGTGTTTAGTTGCTAAACACTGTTTATGCATTGTGTGTTTAGACCAACGCCTATAAACACTTTGCGTTTATAAGGTAAACAACGTCCAAGTGTTTAATTTTTCAAAAGTGTTTAGATTATAAACGCGTCATGTGTTCACCGGTTTTACAGTGTATATAGCATTTCATAAAAATACGAAAAGTGTTGCATGAAATTATGTGATGTGAATTTTGTTCGAATTTTGTGTCCTCTCGAGAGCGTCGTAGCCCGGCATAAAACAAAGCACGTCTATAATTGAGTTGATTTCATGAACATATTTGGTAATTTGGCGCACGAGTGTTGAATTTGCATATTATACAAATTATGGAAAACTTTCAACCAACCCGAAGGATTCAATCTGTGACGGTTTAAAGCACGTCCAATGAGCATTCAACGCGCGCGTGTCGAGTGGACGTGACTAACTCACGACCTCGTGCTAGCGCCTCACTGAAAAATATCGTGTGAGCTGAGCGGGTTAGGTCCCAAACCATATTGCGGTACGTTCATTATGTTATCACGGCCAGCTGGACTCATTTTATCTGTCGCTATTATGTCAGTTTCTTTTAGAAGTCAGTGTAGAATTCCGAATTCACCTTGAGTTCTTTGAGTTTTCTGGTGTTTGGTATATTTTTGTTTTTGGACGGCTGAGAGAATTTCAAGTTATTCTCTTTGTTCTGGAACATACCGTCAACTTTTGCTGTCTTACGTGTGAATATTATCCACCGTTTACGGCACCTAATTATAATAGCTATGACGTCTCCGAGATTCATTCACAGACAATAATGAGGCTGAAGATACCGTAATTATTCTGGAACTGGATCTTTTGATGAGTCAAGTGTTTGGCAATATGGGCCAATACGTTGAAAGCAAATTTATCTGCCTGGATTGTTGTTTAGAATGTTAGCCAGCCCAGGATCTTTTTGCTACACCGCAAACATACATGATCATAGTGATAATAGTTAAGATTTCACTCTCTCATTTACACTACGTAGTGCACGTTTTTCTCATGTGGTGGAATACTCCCCCTTTCACCCTATTTCATCCTTCAAACAGAACGAAGATCATGGCCACTGATAGTAGTAAAGCTGAAGGTGATCACATCACTCTCGGCCAAGTTGAGGATTTACTGAACGAGTGGGGAATACCAGACGTAGTGGATACATTCAGAGGTGAGTAACTTCTAGACTCATTAGATGTAATGTTACGGTAACAAAAAAAAAGAGCTCCAGTCTGCATTACACGTATTTTACCATCACCATTTTTAAACTCGAAAAGAGCACGAACTGCGTAATGTTAAAGGAAACGTCCAGTGGACAATAGCCCTTGCAACTGTTCACACGCATGTTATGCTTTGTCGCAACAGTAATGCAAACCTGATCTCAATGGGGCCTAAGTTTGTTTTCACTGGAAGTAAATAATGAGGCGGCAGTTTTTCAATTATGGAAACCCCTTGCGATGTAAGAGGCGCTATTTCTTGTTTTGTCGTTCAAAACAATACTGACAATGCAAGGCCTAAAATTAGTCCATTAAACCAGCCACCAATAGAAATCGGCTTTTTAGCATGAAACAAGGGCGCAAGGTGGAAAGAAAATGTAGACAAGTGTTATATTGTACATATGAAAACTGTTGTTCTGCCATGAATGCTGTCTGCATGTTTGTAATAAATTAAAAATCCTAATGCATGATCCCTTTGTTTCCAGAGCATCAAATTTATATGAAGGCAATGGAATTACTGGATGACGTCAATGTGGCCAAACTCATTCTACAAATGGGGCTTCGTGTCAAATGTTTGCATGCATGGAACGTATGGAAGGCCGAGGTAAGTAGACTATATCCAGCATGTGACACAGGCATATTGTTCTTGCCAAAATAAATGTACAAACTAAACGATTTTTAACTATACATATTTCTTAGTTCTCATGGTTACGTATCATAACATTGTATAATGAACTTAGTTTGTTTATCACAAGAGCCCCCAAGACGACCTAAACGAAGGATTATTCATCCCGGAAGAAGTCGACCTTTCTTGGTATTACCAGAGCCGGAATTCGAAGCAGACGCCTACGCATCAGATTCATCGTCACGTGAGAGCGCCAACTCGGACTCAAGCCCTGCTAACAATGCGTCACAAGTTATGTTCGTAAGTATATAAGTCATTGACGAGACAGCACGGGTGGTCCTCTCCGATATGCAGAATCGTCTTTGTTGTGATGTTTCCACATTTGTCTAAATGTTGAAAATAATATAGGGCCTGCTTGTTAATGCAATCATCTCATTATACAACGTTTTTAGGTAACGTGAATTTGTGGACTTTGTACTGACATTCTATTTCCTGTAATTTCTTGTTGTACACAACTTAATTGGGCCTATATTTGTATTCCTTTCCATGAACATCGTTATTTCCAGAATGAAAGACAAATCCTGGAGGAAACTCGTTCTGGGAAGGCCTTAGTGGAAAAAATTTGCTTGACTCACCGCGTTGATAAATGCGACCGAATAATCATGACACATAAATTGTTGAAGTACCTGATCCAGACATGTGGGCTCTGGTGAGTTCAGATTTATTCTTGCTGACATTTTTTTCTTCTTGTCGAAAAGATAGCGATCCTCGTTACCTTATCAAATAAAAACCGTATCTTTATCCTTCTTAAAAGTTACACGTTTCTCTATATTCGCAAAAAAAAAGCGTTCGGCTTCTGGACTGCTTTGTACGAATGAAAAGGTCCCGAAACAGTGGTGGATCCTGGGATCCAGCTTCATTAATACAGGTTACAATGGAACATGCAGGGCCATGGCCCACTACTTTCTCCTCTAGCCACTAGAAAACACGCTTTATTTGGTTTGGTTTGCACAAGCGTTTATATTTTTAGCTTCACTTAGTATCTCTGTCGACAGTAAAATAATTGATTTTGTTTATTGATAAAATTCTCAATACCTTTTTTTTTTACATTCAGGCCTAACTCTTCTGAAAAGGAGGCATTAGCAGCAAGTGTCATTAATGAATTCCCTATCCTCAAAGATCCCGAAGGAAAAGGTTATGTAAGTTATTGCTCTCTGCCCAATAAGTTGCAATTGTATTTTTATTAATTAAAAGGCCTCGCTAAATATTTGGCAAGGAATGAGCTCCAATCGTAATGCAATTACGTGGTTTTAAATAATGCTGATATTACTTTTATAGCGCATGCAACTTGCAAAGAATCGCAATGTGCCTTACAATTTCAAACAATGTTTAAAATTGGCATAGGTATTTCATAAAATGAAGCATACAATTAAAGAATTGAAAATATATTATAATATAACAAATTCTTATTAAATTAACACTACTTTAGAGTACAAGTGCAGCGAAGAACTCGAACAGGTTTGGAAATAACGCGCGCACACACCTAAAAGCTCATAATTATACAGAACTTGATATTATGATGAGCAAAATTATATTAAGTTAAATAAAAAAAGTCTTTATCGGCTATCAGACCAACTTTGGCAACTAAATTTCGTGGGGGCCAGGGGATCGGAGGCCACATGAGCCAATTAGGTCGTTGTGTATCCATATTTAAAACGCGTTAAAGCATTACACAGGTGCATTATTTCTGTCAACATCGGCATGTCGGGCAATATTAAGGCGATTCACGCACAGACAAGAAACTGGATACTTTATCGCCTTAACGAATTGTCAGTTTTCTTTGTTTTTATGCATGTCAGGAAG